TCATGATCAAAATGCAACCTTTATGGTTGTCTTCAGCACCTTTGTTGCTGTTTGTGGGTCTTTTGTTTTTGGGACTGCAGTAAGTATGTCATGAACGCTGTGTTTAGGGTTTGTTTCCCATATTTGTGGATCCAAAAATATTAATGTGATTGTGCAGGTAGGATATTCATCCCCGACTGAAACCGGGATCATGGATGATCTTGGCATATCTATGGTTGAGGTAGGACTTTTATGGTGATATATGCTGCTTCTTTTTGCTACTTAATAATAGCGGCTCGTGCAGTGCTAGGAACACTCGCTCTCGCACTCTCCAACCAACACCTGCCCATATGTTTTGCCACGTTACCTCCTATTTTAAGAGAATGGATAGGCCACTGGTTGTGGAATGCTTGACCGAACATCAAATGTACACAAATAAAATATAATGACATTTCTTTCCTTCACCTTTTTATTTTTTCAGCAATTCTTCTACTACCTATTCTACCAACCAAGAGGAACTGGAAGTTCATCGTATGCTTTTTTCAGGCAATATGTTTGTGGATTCTTCATAGAGGCTTTCATGGGGCTTGAGGGATTCGAGAGTTGCCCTCCCTCTTTTCTTTGTTGTCATGGTCAAACCTGGGTTTTTTAGAGCCGTGATTCACAACTTTTCTCCGATGTTTTTGTATCTTATCAACATTGTTCATTATACACAATTCAAATTAGAGTGGTTTTATGCATTTTCGACATGATTTTCAGTCTTTTCTTCCTTTCCTAACATCATCTTTTATGGATCCTCACTCAATCACAAATTTGTCAAGATTTCCAACCTCTTCAACATAACTCTCATCATATTTAAAGGTTTTAATTATCTCTAACTTTAATCCAACATCAGATTTGGTCGCTGACCATCCACCTCTTTCTTCTCCTTCTCCAACTTCAAATTTGGTCACCGGCCATCCAACCAACTTATTTGAGGCCAAAAATTTCTTCTCTGGCTTTCGCTTTCTTACTTTCCTTTCTTGCCTTTTGAAATTTGGGTGTGCGCTAGATCCAATTAACAATTGTCAAGAGGTGTTGTAGACTTGCAGGGGAGAATAGAAATAAAGAAGAGAAAAAGGCAAACTGAGAAAGAGAAAGAAAGTCAGATGAGGAAAACGTAAAAGGGAAAAAGCAATTGGGAAATAAAGAGCTAAAAATTTCTTATTTTATTAAAATGCTTTTAGTTTAACTTGATAACCGTTAATTCTAAGTTGTCGGTTCCCCCTTTAAAATTAAAGCTAACGTGGCAAAACTGCCATGCAGGTGTTGGTGGGAGAGTGCAGGGGCGAGTGCCCCTAGCATTGCTCACTTAATAATGGGTACACCACATGTATGATCTAGTAGTTCAGTGGCAGGGCAAAAGTC